AACCAGGGCATCACATGCGATGGAATGAACAAGATCTAGATCATGGACTGCACATATTGGCAGTATCATCGTTGAAACAGAATTACATGCTAACGCGCCCTAATATAAACATTCGTAATGTTCAAATTCAATGAGATAGGAGCAGTTGCAAACGGTTGCTACCAGTGTATGTAGTTTGGCCGCTGTTAGTTGACGGGGTTTTTCTTACTGGTGAAACAACCAACAACACGACCACTGTGTCGTTCCATTGAATTATGCACCATGATACACTGAAGTTATAGCTCAACAAAAGCGCCCAAAACATTCGATAAACTGAACAGAAATCCATCATTGTGACCTGAAAGCGGCTCAAAGAAAATTGTTATCATACTCGGCCTTGAGCAATTCGGAGTCACACAAGCGAGAAGACCTAGCGGCTAATGAAAGTTTCCATCCCATGGTCTTCAGGAAACAGGTATGTAAGTCAGTTTATCATTCTCAAACCGCATTCTAAGGGCATGTGCGTTTTAGCTGTTAAAGTCAGGATCAGTGGAAAATGAAACGGCGTTGGATATGCTGCCAAGCATCAGAGCTGATGGCATGTTCGGGTACTGGGCAGCTAAACATTGGTCGATGGGTCTGAGGCATGAGCGTCACTGAATGCGTGACCGAGCCATGTCTGAAAGTTTCAGTAACGATGGGTATGTAGAGTCCCAGGTACCTATCCATGGAGGCTGCAATTGTCAGCCCGAGTGCGTCCACTGCTCACCGTTTTCATACTTCGTTGTCCTAAACAGCGTAACCTGAGACGTAAGTAATCCATCCATGGTTTCTTTTCCTAAAAACATCTGAGGTATATTAGCATCGCTAACTCGACCTGACCAATACTTTGAAGGAACAGACGGTCAAAAACTGACAGCTTTCGTACATCCTCTGCGCGTAGAGGCCATGTTTCTGATCCATAAAGCAGTATGGATCGTAGTCCAGCAGTGTGTGCTCGGAACTTGACAAACAAACTGATGTCTCTTCGGTACCATACGTGCCGGAGGTTGGCAAAAGCTACACTGGCTTTCCCGATACGAGAAGTAACCTTGTCTCCAGCCACTCTACCGAAAGTCATGCAAGTGCACAGGTAAACACATGCATGCTACCACGCCGATTAGCTCGTTCAGAAGCATGAGGTTTGAGGTTGACCCAACCAATCTACGGTTGGTCTACAGTTTGCGGATGTGAAGCACATACCAAATCGTGCGGCAGAATTATTTAAGATGTTTGATGGACACGAAACAAGGGGAGCAATATCGTTCGCACACTCAATGTCTGTGAACGAACATCCCGGGAGCATGTCGATTCGCGAGGTTTCGCGGAAGATAGATTTCAGGCGTCATATCAATAATAAAGTTGAGGAGGAAAAGTGAGAGAGCAGGCTCATCTTACACCACTAGAAGTGGTGAAATCAGGCAAAATCTTACTTTATACTCGAACGCGCCCACAGGATTTCACATACAGCCCCTCGTAAGGAATATAGATATGGAAGGGACACTTTTGGTCGCCAGACACCACTAAAGTTTATGACGATCTATAGAGCCAAAAGCAGCTTTTAGATCACGAAGAGCGCCCAGCTTTCGACGTTAGAGAAAGTAGCGCAACTGAAGAACCTGTCTCAGGATAAACATATGATTGATGCATCCCCGGCCAAGGCGAAACCCAGCTTGATTTTCACGAATCGGCCCCTCTCGATAACCGAACAGTTGGCATAAACTAATGCGAGAGCACCCTGGATACTATGGCTGCCAGGCTAATGCCATGATGGTTGCCACATTACGCTCTTGTGCCCTATTTGATGACTAGAGTGACCGTCAAGACGCTTCATTCCAACAGTATTCTTAACCGTTCCAAATCTTGTGTAGGACAGTGGTACGTTCACCAGGGCCTCGGCATATTCTTTGAAAAGTGCGGAATGCGGTCGGGTGCCTTTTCGAGTTGGAAGAATGACATATTACGCTGGATTTCTGCCAGTATCGAACTTCAATTTAGGCTCGCTGGGTTCTTCCAGAGGTTTGTGGAACGATACCAGCTGAATTCCGCTTCAAAGTGTCAGGACAAGCCCTCATTGTGACAATTTTGCAAGTGACTCACCGTTCCGCCTTCCTCGCACACCGTTTTACTAGGACTTGTCCTCTTTTAATAAGTTGACCGAATCATCTGAAATAGGGTGAGGCTCTTGCCTTAAGTGAAAGGCTTCTCAAACTCCTGGACCTTCGCAATCCACCAGCATCCTCTGTCATTCAAGTTCTTGATTATCCGGTGTTTGAGGGATCTGCGTGTGCCATTATAGCCGTTGGTTACTAATACGGCTTTCCTGGCAGCAATAAGGTCTGTTAACTTCGACGATATCCAGTTTTCATTTATTCGAGTCGGGTGTCTTGGACAGACAGTTCCAAAAATTAACATCATAGCTTCTTCAACTCGCTTCCATTCAACCTTCAAACAGTCACTGTTATCACCATGACTGTGAGTTCCCAGTGCCTGCAGAATGGAGCATGTCGACAGTTATTCCTATCTTCAAGAATGGTACGCGGATGCTGTGTGAAAACCACCGTGGCATCAGCCTGTTAGCTGTGGCATCGAAGGTGTTTTCTGGTCTTATCCTTCGAAGGTTGACTAAACACAAGGAGAGACAGATCCGTGAAAACCAAGCTGGGTTCCGTCATGCAAGGTGCATCGATCATATCTTTACCTTCCGACAAAAGCTAAAACAGCAACACTGCTTCCAGCAACCAACAGTGGTTGTGTTTCTTGTTTCGAACGTTGCCTTTGACTCTGTGGACCGTCAGGCACTATGGCAGTGTCTGCGGAGCAAAGGTTTCCCCCATAAATTCTTGACCCTCCTTAAGGCGCTGCACGCCAGCTCCCGCGGCCGCGTGAAGGTCTAAGGAAAGCTCTCTTCTGAGTTCACCACATCAAGTGATGCCCGACAGGGCTGTCCTCTCTCACCTTTCCTCTTCAACTTCGATCACGGAAGACTCAATACCAGCCTCTAATGCCTGTGGGGTCAAAGTACTCCCTCAGCGTCCGTTCACAGATATCGAGTACGCAGACGACATGGCTTTCTTAGATCTGATCCCGTGATAACTCAAACAATATTAAACAATGTAAGTATCTCCGCCTCACGGTTTGGCATGCGCTTCACACCTATAAAGTGTAAATTGCTACTGCAAGACTGGGTGGGCTCGAACCCTAGCCTCATACTTGCGGATGAACCGATTGACGTAGTAGACAAATTTGTTTACCTGGACAACTGTATCAGTCCCGGTGGTCTGGCGAAAGATGATACTTCCACCAGAGCAGCCAGAGCAGCTTTTGTGAAAAAGACTCAATACCAGCCTCTAATGCCTGTGGGGTCAAAGTACTCCCTCAGCGTCCGTTCACAGATATCGAGTACGCAGACGACATGGCTTTCTTAGATCTGATCCCGTGATAACTCAAACAATATTAAACAATGTAAGTATCTCCGCCTCACGGTTTGGCATGCGCTTCACACCTATAAAAATTGCTACGCTACTGCAAGACTGGGTGGGCTCGAACCCTAGCCTCATACTTGCGGATGAACCGATTGACGTAGTAGACAAATTTGTTTACCTGGACAACTGTATCAGTCCCGGTGGTCTGGCGAAAGATGATACTTCCACCAGAGCAGCCAGAGCAGCTTTTGTGAAACTGCTTCACCTGTGGCGTAGGCGTGACATCAGCTTCTCTGTCAAGGATCTAGTTTACAATACTGCGGTGCGCTCCATATTACTATAAGAATCAGAAACCTGGCCGCTGCGCGCTGAGGACATCAAAAGACTTTCAGTGTTTGACTATCGATGTCTTCGGAGCATTGTCAGAATCTGGTGGGAACGCTGGATCACCAATGCCGAAGTACATGGAATGGTATTCGGAAGAAATAACTCACCCTCGATAGATGAACTCATCACACTGCATTGGTTGTACCGGCTTGGCCACGTGCTGCGTATGCCAGCCGACCGACCGACTTCCTCGAAGGGATCTTTTCGCACAACCACGTGAAGAGTGGAAGTGAGCCAGAGGCAGTCAGACAGTGATTTGCCAGCGAAGTATAAAAGACACTACCAGCAAACTCAGCTGAGCTGGTCATTGCCGTCTTCCTGAATGGGGACCCCGAGACTGACCACATCGATGGTTGGAGACATTGTCAGACATGGCCCAGTCGCACCTGCAATGGCGCCCATGCATCCAAGCTATTGCCTTCAATGCATAGCTTCCTTCCCGATTCCCCCACTTGACAGTCCACTGACAGTGCTGTAGTTACGCACGAATTTATCAGCTCCCGCCTCCAATGCGCAGCTATCTACCCCACCTCCCCGAATCATCGGTGAACGAAGCTGTGGCAGCTACAACCACTGTACGACATGTACGCGGTTCTTAGAGCTGACAACGATGATGAATCTTGGTATGAGATTGATTCTTTTGGTTTATTTTGCCTTTGTTTGTCGGACTGCTCCGCTCCGATTTTCCTAGTGGTTTACCTCAAAGAACTGATTTCCCGCCGGTGTGGCCCAACAGATCATTCCGGAACTGAAGCCCACCACTAAAGATGATGTCTTTAATTCAAGCGACAAGGAGAAATTATGTCCACGGAGGGAAACCTGGTAGGAAAGTACACGTAGCTTCACAGCCACTGAGTATTTATCAAAGCTAAACGTTGTCGCACGCGGAATTATTTTATTTCCATAAATCTGAGGCTAACTTGCAATTTGGTATGGTATCGTAAATCCAATATTCACACACCATCAGAGCCTTGATGACAAAAATGACGAGCCTTAAAGTCCGAGCACCAAAAGCTTAGTTCGTTAACAGAAAAGTTATTAAACCTAATAGGTTACCGAGTAAGACAAGGGTCCATATTGACTGCGATGGACTGATCTGAATAGTATGCTCGTCTCTATGACAAGAGTAAACCAGAATCCCACTACCAATACAAGAAACTGAAGAATTACCAGTGCTGGAAAGTCGTTCGGAAATAGGAAAGTGTCTGAGTAATTCGGATTGATAGTCCCGCTGCTTCTGGTCGCACCCGGACATAACGGATTAATCACCACTGATTTCGGTTCAGGTTTATTTGAAAGAGTACGCTCTGGAAATTCCAACTGCCCAGACCATGGGCGAGAAATACGATGCGGCGACACAATAATCCACTCTCCCATCAGAGGATCATAGCGTCTATGAACAAAATTGGGTACCTCTAGGATCGCGTCCGATGGTATCATCAATTCTGAAAAACAGGGAATAGTGATCAAGTCATCTAAAAGCATCCGAGCACCATGTGCGACACAGTAAAAGACCATTAATCGCATGTAACTATGTACAGTTGACGGAAGGTAACAAGATCAAAAGGCAGTTGATTCGACATCCTCTTTGGAAAGAGCAGTAAGGTCAAATCCTTTTAAACTATGATTTCCTTCGAGCTCACGCAACATGTTAATATCCGCCTTCAACTCTTCCCGAAGTCTATCCACCTCGGAATTGTACGTTTTCAAATCATCCCTTAGTGCTTGAATGAGCTGATTCCGAGGAAGCAGAAAAAATTGGTCCGACAGCATGACCCATTGTTTCTCTTCATTCGTGTTGAGTTTGCTCACTGCACTGAGGGCCTCTCTTGTCTGTTGTCTGTTCTTGTCACACAATACGCTTTGCTCCTGTTTAGCAATCACAAGTTCACCAAGTTCCTCAACTTGCTCCAGGTGCTCTAGGATTCTCACCTGTTCAGGGTTCAGTGGCATTCAACCCACAGCTGTAGACAGAGAAAAGAATGTGAGCCGAGAATTAGAAAAGCGTCATCTGACCACATTAAAGTGGTTAGTGAATAAGGGTGGTTAATCGCCATTTAAGGGAGCAAGAACAGTGAGGTGCTTCAGTAAGTAAGTGTGTAAAGAGCCATAAATTCAAATGATGCCTGCCGTTTGAGTGAACAGTAACTAAGCCAGGTTAGTAGGCGAACCCAGGTGAGCGGAAAGCACTGACCTCAGCATCTTCACCATAAGCGTCAAAGACGAGTCACGTACAGACTAGCAACCATAGCTCACTGGGCCTATGTAGCGGGAAACCGGAGTGGATAACTACGACTGCAGACAACAATTAGTATGGCAGAAAGGTTAGTTCAATGTTGGTTATGGGTGTTTGTCCTTGAAAGAGTTCGGAAGGAGGAACCACGTACTGAAGGTAATACATTGCGTGCATGCAACTGGGTGCGCGGTTCTGTTATTGTCCATATATCAAACCATCAATGAGTCCCATGTTCTCTGGGTCCCCGACCAACAACGCAAATAAGTTTGCTGATTGTGGCTTTCACGTTTTACTGCCAAATCATTAGCGGACAACTTCTATAGCGTTTGTATCCCTATACACTATTGTGCTAGAAGGGCCCTTCGGCGACGTGAAAAGCATACAAAACCTATGGCGTGTCAACAGATCACGTAATCCTTGAAAAATACCCAAGGAACATTCGACGTTCATCAGTAGTGCTGATAAGGCGTTACCACTAGACTCGGAAAACACTAAAGAGACATGGGGGCAAAACACACTTGAACTTGAAAGTGCGTATCGTCAAATACCCATTAAGGGACAGAATCTAATCTACACGGCTTTTGAGGCTTGCAACAATCTTTATCAGTTCCGTCGAATACCTTTCGGAGTAACGAACGGAGTAGCGTGCTTTCAAAGGGTAATGGATGACAGAAGACGCGCCGGAAAACTTATGGGGTATATGCGCATGTGGATAATGTCACCATTTGTGGAAAGACTTAAGAACACGATCGAAACCCCCAGCGTTTCCTCACCGTAGCACAAACGTACGGCCTTCAGTTAAGTCATGATAGAAGCATAATTTCCACCACTAAACTCAGACTCCTTGGCTATGAAATTACTGAAGGTATTATCAAACTAGACCCTGAACGCTTCAAGGCCTTACAAGAACTGCCCATTCCGAAGGACTAGAAGTCTCAACAACAAATTGCTGGCTTGCTTGCGTACTATTCTCGTTGGATAAGCCGTTTCTCTGATAAAATCTACCCAATCACTCACAATACAACCTTTTCTGCCCCTGGATCTGTTATGAAAGCACTTGAAAGTTTGAAAAAGAAGTTGATGGATGCAGCCTTGGTCACTATCGATCCGAGAATACCGTTGGTGCTCGAAACCGGTGCATCTGATGTTGCGATTTCCGCTACACTCAATCAACATAGCAGACTGGTCGAATTCTCCCCACATACACTGCCGCCAGCGAAAAGCATTATTCTGATATTGAGGAAGAAGCGTGCGCAATGGTCTAAGCAGTGCGTAAATGCAGGCATTACCTACTCGGGATCTATTTCAAGATCGTAACTGATCAGCGGTCCGTTGCATTCAAGTATTCAACACAAAAGGAAGGATAAAAATGACAAAATCCAAAGATGGCGGATGGAGTTATCGCCATTTTTTAACGTAACCTACAGCCCAGGCATAGAAAACAAAGCTGTTGACACGCTCCCTTGGAGTTTCCGTGGGAACACTTCATCCCAGCTGGATCTGAAACGCTTACACACAACTCTGTCATCCTGGAGCAAAATGCGTGATGCATTTCGTTCGTGCCAAGAATTCACCGTTCTATCTAGAGGGCATCCGACTTGTCATTAAGCAGTGTCGTGTGTGTGTGGGATTAAAACCATGTTTATCCAATCCATCTGGTAGTACACTCATTAACGCCACACAAACGTTTGAACGTTTGCGCATTGGCTTCAAGGGATCATTGCCTTCGATGGCTCGAAACAAATATCCACTGACGGTCGTAGACGAACATTCTCGTCTTCCGTTCGCCTATGCTTGTCCGATGATATCATCGTCGTCTACGGTGATATCATACCTTGTGCTACTCTTCGCCACATTTGGCCAATCCAGTTTCGTGCAGTCCGATCGCGGCTTGTCATTCATTTCGGATGGGATCAAGCAATTTCTTCATGAAAAAGGCGTTGCCACCAGTCGAACCACTCCATATAACTCACGGGGGAACAGTTATGTGGAATCATTAAATGAAACTTTTTGGAAAGCAATTACGACTTCATTACGAACAGATCTTTAAATCAGTCATTGGGAAACCGCTTTACAAGACGTCTTCCATTCAATTCGTTCTTTGTTGTGCACGGCCGTCAATACCACTCCATGTGAGCGAATGCTCCATCACAATCGGTCTGATGTAGGCCCCGCAGGGTTCATACGTGTAATACGGGGGAAGGTTCGCCGATTCATCCGCGGAATGGCGAAAGCCTTTCGAGCCCATTTTTCATGGTGCAGAGAGAAGGACGTGTTTGAAGAAAGCCAGGTACCTAAACCATTTTGGTATCAACCTTCGTAATACCTTTTGATCCATTCTCACTATACACGACGAAAGCGCTTGCTGAGTCTTTTCCGAACGGTACACAGACGGTCTTTTCGTCTTTCAGGGGTAGGTGCCAGTCCAACGACCACTGCTTTGCAGTGTTTACATCCACTTGGAAGGCACCGGAGTTCATGAACTCCTGGATTTCAGGTAGTCCGAAAAATCGGACGTGAACTTAAAGAAAACCTGGTAGGTCGTTGACGTAAATCAGAAACAGAAGTCCCAAACCAGAGCCCTGAGGAACTCCATTGTAGATCGGCGCCGGAGAGTAGGTCGAGTACACTTCCACTCAGAATGTTCTATGTGATAGGAACGCTTTAACCTAGCATTGTTTTCCTTGAATCCTGTAAGACTCTAGTTAGCGGAGCAGCGGAACGTGTGGCTCGAGCGAACGCCTTTGAAAAGTCGAAAAATATGAGATCCGATATGAGTACTTCGTCCTTATATTGGGTTAAGCTGTCTATAACTACAAGCACATTTGTCATGCACGAACGGTTTGGGAGGAACCCGTGTTGCACTCGGACTATCAAGTTGGTAGTGAGGTGATTTAAAATGGCCAGCTTTAGAATGTGTTCCACCACCTCGCACGGTAGTGAGGCTAATATGCCTGTAGCTGCCGGGCGATAGGCGTTCACCAGTTTAGTGGATTGGTGTGACAATCACCTCCTTCCAAGCGGAGGGAGGGGAGCTTTCGTCCAGCGACTGACGAAAAATCAGTGTGAGCAGCGATTCCTTCTAAAAGAAGCGACACTCTTGAGCACAAGGTCATTACACATGGCTTGTCACGATGCTTGCGTTTGGGATAAGGTCCCGTAACGCGATGTTCACAATGGTTATTTACTGTCCAGGGTCGTGCTATCTGATCCAGACAAGCATCGATTGAATCCGACGGGAGTTACGATCCCGCTACGGACCAGGCGATCAAGCGATTTGCGGCGTCATCCCCATTCTGATTGGTTGATACCTGGATGGCGGGAACATTCAAAAGTGGCAACTTGGCGGATTTGCGGTTTATGATTGACCCTCTAAAACGAAGCAGAGAATTATGAGGCGGTTGTGTCTTCCAAAAATTTACATCGCTAACTAATTTATAAATATAATAAGCACACAAAGTATGGGAATCCCCTCCAGTTTTAGATAGCTTGGTTGTAAAGAGTGTAATCCTATATCTTGTTCCTAAAGTTAACCATAACTCCAAAGGAAGATTATATTTGGGATTACTGGCGGTAACAAAAAGTAATTAGTCAGAACAGCCCAGAATCAGCAACTGACGCTGGTGTATTGGCTGTTTGCAATCAGCATCGTTCACAGATTATGAAACAGATATTCGTTTGAATTAAAGGAGTAGCCTACGTGTAATAGTATATTTGCCTCTCAATGAATCCATTGAAGGCCATGTATTCTAGGAATTATGTTCGGTAGCTAAGGCACCCGATATATTCATCGACTGCCCTAGGTGCAAGCCCCGGTGTTTTCATGGACAGCGCTAACTTTGGTTTATAATGAATGAAATATCGTTGTGTCCTTCGGAGCCAACAGATCAACGATAGTGTCTGTGTTTAGGCCAGAGCTGCAGCTGTGGGTACCAATCATCTGGGTACACAGAATAATACAAATAGCTGTTGACGTATTTAGTGAGCAATGAACGCTACGCTTGGAATACCACTATTGCCACAACCTTCTGATGCGACTTTCAACGACACATCAGATATACCTAAAGCAACAGCAACTTATGTCACAACTGTAGTTTTTGAACCCTGAAACTCAGTTGTGGCTGGAAATCACTCGTTCCGTTTGCGTTGGCGACTCTACGTACTATGCAACAACAGGCGGTGCGCCCGTCATAGATTCTTCGGATTGAATAATATTTGTCGATTGCGTAACTAGTAACACCATTACGTGAAACACCCACAAAGCGCAATACGTGTTTCAGACACAGTTAGGCTGCCGGGCTATTGTACACAATGCTAGACGTCTGCTGTTAGAGGCGATCCTATATTGTCCTAGAAGGTTTCGGGACCACTCTGAGGCTATAGACGAAAAAGAAAAATTACGCCCCCTTTCTCACCTACGCAAGTTGGTCTTCAACCCAAGGCCCGGATGCCTTGGTTGCCGTGACGCTTGGGTTGTCGGGAAATATGAAACCAAGTTTAGGAAAACATAATTTTATTATGATTGATTGCCAACAAATAACAGAACCATTAAAAATGTGTTCCACAGTTGTGCCTGGAAAGTAAATGGGAAAAGAATTAGTGGAAGGCAACGGAACGGAAACGGCCAGAGGAGGGTATGGATTTTACGGCCGAAAACCCCACCCACTTCCCACACCTGCGTGTGGTAGTATTGGAGAAGCTAGGTTGAAGCTGCCTGAACTG